CGGAGCTCGTTTCCAGCGCCTGGCTTATGCACGAAGCGTTGCTGGGGTAAGCTGGTCGTGAGGTTTGACACACTCCTGAATTGCCTTGTAATTCCCCAAGCCTGAAGTCTCTCCTAAGTGTAAAACTATGCACCTACCTTTATGACAGCTAAATTTACCTTATTTTATATGTAAGTAGTAGTATATATAAGTAAACAATAAAAATCTAATCTTCAAGGTAGATCTTTGTGATGGGAGACTGACATACGGCAGTAACTGTAGCCCTTTTATGAACAAAACCACAATGCAGCAGCCCTGCCTGTGCCCAGTGAAACACCTGTCATAAGCCTCTGTCATTGTGATTGTCCTTACCCCACCATGCCTAATTTTTCTCCAGTTGGGTATATTCCCTTTTGGCTCTGGATAAGTGCTAGCTTGTGACCCCAGGTAACCAGCCTTCAGCTTACCGTGGAAGCTACTTGCTAACCATTTTGTTACCATAGCTATTGAATTTCTCCTAACTTTAATTTACTGTAGTGCTATTCAGATGATCTCAGAATAATGTGAACTTAGGAAAGTTTTGAGGATTGCTGTCTGAAACCATTAGTTACTCTTCCCCCCCACCAGACCCAGAGCAAAGTCTGAGCTGAGGCCACCAACCATTAGTTGCATTATTCTTCTGTAAACGGTTACTGCTGGTGGATAGCACTTCTACTTAATTGTATTTCTGTCCCATTTGACTTGGACCAACTTCTCCAGATTTCAGTTTCTTCAGCATTAGTCCGAAAACTAATTATGAGACCACTGTTTCTTACCTGCCTCAGATAAATATACTGAGGTTGGGCTGGTTCAAGGATGATTACTTAGCCACGTACAAATTTGGGTGTTCTGGAGCCTGTACTTTGTGGCTTTTTTTGCCTAGGACCATTTCTCTCTTTTTCCCGATCACACCTTAAACCTAGCCATGAATGCTGCCAGTATAAAGTTTAAATATTGCCCCTGACATCACTAGCCTTTGTTATTTGAGCTCATCACTTCCTGTATACAAAATTTTCCCAGCTGCTGGCATTTAGCAAATACAAGTTCATCTAATCTAAACAAATCCTGAATTCTAATCCATAATCTTTTGGTGGGTTCTTCAGTCTGGTCTCTTCTGAATCCTTTCGTTAACATACATAGCTGCTGTGTTCACCCCACAGCAGCTGGCACTAGCTCCAAAATGTTAGGTATCTTTCTTCATCAGTGAGGTTTCTCTGGATTTCATTAGTTCTGTTCCTTTGTTTTAGACTTTCACCAGCCAAAAACTATATACAACCTGTGACATCTACTAGCACAGTCCATACCTTAATTGATCTTTTTTCTGGCTGGTTTGTGAGTCCTTCCTCAGGGTTTTCTAGAGATGCGAACTCACAGTATAACCTACCCTCAGCCTTACTTTCCCTCTATGAACTCCTGCCACAGTCAGCTTGCCAGCTGCGTGTTTAAATGAAGCGTGGTGGTTTTAGCAGGCACTAGTTCTCTGTTCAAACTGACAGCTTTTACCAACCGCAAACAGAAATGTGGCCTCGTGACCTAAACTAGCACAGGTCATACGCTTCTTAAATCCTCGGTTAGGTCTGATTCAAGAGGCTCCATAGTCAGAAACGCTGGCACCTAACCTTACTGTAACTCTAACTTGTTCTGAATGTTTTTTTCTCGATGCCTGTCATACCAAGCCACAGGGTAGTCATGGATGGAAGAAAGTTTGAACAGTGATTTACTCTATTTCTAGCTCTATGAGCTTTGCTGGAGACAATGTAATTGTACCGCGTACCCCTTTTCTGCATTTGCCAGCTCTTCACAGATGTCTTTGTAACCCTAGGGTGCTTCGTTAAACTTCAGGGTCTGAGACGTACGGTTAACCTGCAATCAAACTGAAGGGCAAGCTATTGCCAACAAAGATCTGTTGCTTTATGTTATTGCTAGCTCAAAGTCCATACTGGCCTATTCCAGTGCTGGGTTAAGGTGTAGGTGAGAGGTGTAGTGCAGGGTCGGAGAGCTACTGCAGATTGGGTGGAAACTGCTAAGGGAACACAAAATTGAAGAACTGGTGCTAACAGACTCAGCCACTTCTCTTGGCAGGTTTCTGACCTCACTGGGCTATGGTTGGCATAGGGCTGGCTTCAGGGATTACAGAATGGCAATAAATAAGGCAGTAATCTTATTGGAAAGGGAACAAAAAAAATACAGTGGAGATTGTGGCCCTTATGGGTCCAGACTCCATTTCTGCTTGCGGTTTATGGAACTTGAAGGATTTTTATTCGCTGTTAAACTCTAGGTTGCTTGTGATTTCTAACAAGTAGCTTTTCATACTTAAAATTGCAACAACTAGAATTCCTTATATGTGACTTTTTGATTAACATGTCAGAATTGTATTCCAGGCATTGTTTGTATCATTTACACTGTTACACATAAAAACACACACAAATATAAACAAGTATTAAGGTCTGGCAGTTACTGTTCTATTGCAAACACAAGTTTTGTTAGTTTCCTGTATTTGCATAATTAACTTTATAGCAAGGAATAATGACAGTGTAGTAACTAGGAAAGATTAGATTAAGGTGGCAGACCCAAGAGAAAGCAACTGGTTCATGTTAGCGATTGCTAAACCTCTACTGGTCAGTCCAACCCTAAAGAAGCCTGACTTTAATTAGGGCTGCCTGGACCCAGTGAGGAATGCTTGAGGGAATAAAATATGAAAAGAAAGAAAGAAAGAGCTTGAAAGATTCTTCTCTTCCTAAATCTAAAATTAAGATGTATCTTCTCAGTGTTCCATTTGGAAAATACTCATACCTAATAAAACAGCTGTCAGTTGTCGTACACAATGTCTGCTTGTGAACTTACTAAATTGCTAGTTAATCCTTGTAGCTGGTCCAGTGCCAATGAAAACACTGATGTGGAAATTAACGTTATTGTTCAAGTAAGCATAATGTACCAGAAAGTTAGACATAGTACATAGGCCTCCATTAACAGTGTTTTAGAAAATGTTTGCTTTGATGTCTTTTCCTTCCCTTGCAAACATTTGCTTAACAACATCTGATATCCATTATGTAATATTTGCTCTAATATGTAGGTGTTAAGCAGCTGTAAACATTTTATCCTCCCTTCAGTGAATCATCAACATGATTCTTGGTTCTACATTATTGCCAAGTATATATAGATTTTTGGATAGCCTTTGGTTTTGTGTGTCTTGGAAAATAAAATAAATCAAGAAAATATCAATAAATTTAAAACTCTTTAGATGAACAGATGGCATTTTAAAGCTTTTTGCTTTGCACTAAGAAATCATTTGATCATGTGAAAGCCTAACCTTAGTTCTATAATATCAAAACAAGTGAAAGCTTTGATTTAAAAAATTTATTGTATACACATTCTGACCATTTTGTACAGATCACTAGTTTTCCACACAATTCCACATACTAAAATATCGCAAATAGTTGTATTTCATCTGTTGTCTCAAGTGGCTGTGAAATAACTTAAGTGCATTACAGAAGCGTTATGCAGTGCTTTGCATAGGAAGGAGGGGAAAAAAGCCTGTTGAAGAGGTATTTCTCCTCTGTTAGTTTGAATGAGTTATTAGACATAGTATTTCAGGACATGTTTTGCCATAATTTCTCAGCTGGTTACTAGAGCTAGGGAAGTCTTAGACTTTTATAGATTGCCAGATATCACAGGCAGGACGAAAGATCACTCGCATGTCAGTTGTTGATTGCCTCTTGGGTGAAGCAGGGTCATTCCACCACGAGAACATCACCTGAACTGCCTCTCTTGCAGGCACCTGCTTACCTGTTCCAAAAACTTCCTGCTTTCTGTTTTGTAGATTGTGGATTTGGGTTGGGGTTTTTTTAAACGTGTTTTGTAAACATGGCTCCTCTGGTATGTCTAAGAGGTGGATGTAGGAGCTTCTGAAACAGTCAGAAAGAATATAGGAAAAAATTAAAGCTTATTTATTTTTGCTATTAGCTGTTAGTCTTCATTA